TGAAAACTTTTTTTTTAGAAAAAAAAAGATTTTTTAAAAAGATTTTCTGAAAACATTTTTTCTTAGAAAAAAAAATTTTTTTCAAAAAATTTTCTGAAAACTTTTTTTTTAGAAATAAAAGTCAAAAGTCAATAAAAAAAAAACACCCGTCAATAAAGGGTCAGTAGTCAGGAAGGTCATATTGAAGTAAGTTGTGAAAAATGTCACCAACCTTAAAGGTAAAGGTTTCATTGAAGTTTGGTTCCAGGGTCTTTCTGTGAACTTTGGTTTCAAATTTCTTCTTTTTGTCCGGAAGCAGAAACACTTTCACGTATGGGTCAGAACTTCCTCCCACGTCCATGGCCGGGAGCTGGGCAGCTTCGATGATGCCTACAACCAGCTGCCATAAGGACAGACAAAGTACAGAGGTGAGAAACCCAAGGTGTCGTATCAGAGACGGTCGATCCTGAGCCACTGGTCCTCACCATGTTGTCAGTGAAGTTATAGTCCAGGGCGAAGTGCAGTCGACCCAACTGGTCCTCTTCTCTGGGCTCCAAGTCTGACATCTCTGTTTCCCTGTCACCGTCATCTGACTGTAGTCACACACACCCACACTCACAACAGTGTCATCAACGCTGTACATGATACATAACTGTAGAAATGTGTGTGTTTTGTGGCCCACCTTGGTGACACCTCCCTCAGGTTCATCATCCAACCCTCTCCCGTCCGTCTTCTTCTTCTTGTCCGACCTCTTCTCCTTGTCCTCGCCCTTCTTCTTCCTGCTGCAGCACTTCCTCCACACACACAGACCACAGGACAGTAGGACACACAGGGCCAGCGTACACAGGGCGGCCGCGCCCCACCATGGCACTGAGAGCCCAGGGAAACAGGGACAGAGGGGGGTTAAAACTGTAGTTACAGGAGGTGACCACCTGAAGGAGACCTGCTCACCGGTCCAGGACCAGAACCATTGTTAGTGTCGTTGTTATGGTTACTCCACCCATCCATTACATAAGACTTAAGGTGGAGGGCGGGGTCACACCCTGGACCAGTCCAGCAGTCCATCACAGGGTCACAGACAACAATTCACACTCACATTCACATTCACACAGACTGGTGATTCACAAGGACCTGGTTGTTAGAGCAAGGGAAAAGACATAATAAAATAATAATAAAAACAATAACAATAACAATAATAAGAACTAAAATAAAATAAAGTAGTGATTGATTGATTGATCTGTCAACTACTTAGTTTGTTTCACCATCCGACTCGGTCGGTCAGTCTTGTGTACGTCTACTCACGTTTCACGCTGCGTAGTTCACTCATGAACTTCTTTGTGCCCAGGGTCGTGGTGAGGTTCTGCCAGTGAGTTCCTGCCGCCGACGGGTCTCCCTGTGAGGTTGAGGCTTCAATCTGACTGATACCCGTCATGTCTGATAAGGCTGATGATTGACAGCAAACTTGGAAGTGTCTGATTGGAGAAAGGGAGAAAATAACCACGGTTACAGAGAAACAGGAAGCAGGAATCGCTGGTGTCTGACGGCGACGGCGACGGTGACGTCTCCGGTTTCTGCTGCTCTGGCACTAAGTTGAACACAGCATGTGCAGAGTGCTGCGTCTGACAAAGGCTGCTGGCAGAGAGAGGGGAGGGTCCTACAGCGGTCAGAGGTCAGTCAGAGGTCACTGTCGTATCCAAGGGTCAAGGCTAGCTGCTGCACATTTGGCACTTTTCTCAAAGTTCAGAACTGATCCTGGACCTGCGGTGACTGCTGTGGATTCTCTTTTTGTCTATTCTGCAGAAACAGCAAGTATTAAATATCTGCAGCTGAGTCAGCAGAGGTCTGACCCGACCCACGCGCCGCCCAGAACCCAAAGACGGACAGGGGGTGACTTCTCCGAGCTGCAGAAACGAGAAAGTCAAAGAACAAACACAGGAACAGGAACAGGAACCGTTTTGATAGGTAAGCAGTTTACTTTTAATTAAAGTTTCTTTCGGCAGATATGCAAGACATTTACTATTTATTAAAGTTTCTTTCGGCAGATATGCAAACATATCTGCTCACTGGTGATGTAAACGATGATCAATAATTGACAGGTTGTCACGGTGACGGTGAAACTCCTCCTGCTGCTGCTGCACAGCCCATGAAAAATAATGATCAAAATCAAAACTTCAGTGACGGCAGAGTTCGACTTCTCAATTAAACACCACAACAACATAAAGGTGCGATAAAGAGACAGGTGACTCACAGACAGACCAAGAACCAGAACAAGTGTTTGAAAAAGTGTTTGTTTTTTTTTAAATGATGGAGACGTACCTGTGGTGTCCTCCACAGCAGCAGCAGCAGCAGCAGCAGCAGCAGCAGCAGCAGGAACATCCAGAGTCCCAAAGGAGGAGAACAGTGAGGGTGAGTTCCTCTGTATCTTCACTTTGTGTCTGTTCAGGTGTTCTCTACTGCCCCTACAGTTCACTGGTGCAGTGCATGCATATTCATGATTGGTTTTTAAAAAGTCTGATCAGTGAAGAGTTCAGCAAAAGACACACACACACAAACACACACCCCTGCAGAGCTGTCTCCAAATGTGTGTGTGTGTGTGTGTGTTCTAAGGAAAACCAGGATGTGTTTCCGCAGCAAGGATCAGGTTCCTGCTCCGCTCACCCTGAGGACGATGCAGGGACGAGGACACGGACGGAGACACTGACAGGAGACGGATGAAGACACGACCTCTGTAGAAAACCTGCAACGTCAGCAGGTTTTTTTTAACTCTGTCTTTTTGATGTAAGGACACACACACACACACACTGTACTGTATTTACAGGTGTAAAAGGGTGAAGGAAAAGGTTCTCAGAGGTTTGTTCTCAGAACTGCAGGTGTCAGTGTTGAGCTGTTACCGTTGATTTTGTTTTAGATTGAACTTTATCAAATTTATAAATTTAATAATGTATCAAATTCAGAATTTGTTAACCAAGAATAGCTTAGAAATTAGCCAAGTGTATTTTTTAGCCAAGTCTGGAAAAATGACATCATCGGCGTACTGGTGAAGAATGCCAAAAAGTCAATAGAACGTTAAATATACTTGCTGAAAGCTGGACGATCATCAGCGAAGTGAGAAAAGTGGAACCAAAATGTGAGATGCTACTTCAGCTAGCCGTTAGCTCAGCAGCTAGAACTGTTCTCAAACCTTCGCAAAGGGTCAGAGAACATGTTGCACAAAGACAGAAAGTTTTATTTAAAAATATTTCACTGTGTTTACATCATACTCAGACCCACTGTATACATATTTATACATATACAGTATATTTGTATATGTATAGAAACTCTTATCCATGATGCTAATTATATTAACAGTAATATTATTTATAGATTTGAAACTCTGTCAGAAGGGGGCGGGGCTTGAGGGAAACGCCTCTTGACTGTAGTGTAGAGCTGAAGTACAAACACCAAAACAGATAAGTTCTCTGCTGCCCCCTGCAGACTTTAAGACACACATGCACACATGACCCGGTAAGTGTAGTAAACATGAGATCTGTGGAAAATGTCAAAAGTAAAGCAAGTGCGTTTTTGTCCAGGAGAGGGCAGAATAACTACAGGTGGATTGAACCGTAAATCTGAACCTGTGGTCACCTGTCGTGATGTTAAAGGGCGCAGCCTGCTGGTTGAGGGGCAGTATTGGACACAGCAAGTTTTTCTGCTTGTTAACGATCTGCTGTCTTTGACTAAGCCAGGTTTGCTCTGGCCTGCAGGGGGAGACACACAGCTGCTGCCATGGTCCACTTCTTGTGACAGATGTTTCTGTCAGAACAGACGACTGACAACGACAGGAGTCCGAGGACATGAGGTGGATTATACAAAAAGGAGAGGGCGGCGCCAGAGAGGAGGTATGGCGTCCCACTGGTCCTGGTCCCGCCCACAAGACAATAAGTCTGCATGTTGTCTCTCAAGTCCTTAGGGAACCATGGTCTGTCTGGAACCAGAGAATCTTCTTCTGTTTGGGACTCTAATCAGAAGCTTCACCCCCGGGGGTCCGGTGCTTGTGGCAGGGAGGCCCGCCCCTCGACTTCCTGTGTCTCACAGCGACAGATTGTCCGGTCCCTGACTTCATGGTGATTACACAGGCAGTCAGGCTCCTGGAGGTTTTCACAGGGGCCAGGGCAGGTCACTAAAATCTACAGGACCCCCGAGGCCGGCGTCAGCCTCCAGCAGGGACATGATGACGGCCATGGCGGCCTCGTCGTTGCTGGGGCTGCTGGAGCCTGGATCATCCATGATGTCAATGCTCAGGTGGGAGTTATCACCTGGAAGAACAGGACAGTTAGGCTAGCTAATGGTCATCTCTGTTAGCCTCAGCCTAATGGAACCTGGGCTTGTGCTAACAAGAAAACATAATAAGGACACAGGAGGTTAAAGGTCAGTGTGACACTCACTCATGATGGACTGGTTGGAGTACGGATACCCGACAGAATCAGGACCAGGAACCATCCCTGTGTTCGGCAGATCTGGTGTTCCTCCATTCTGGATCTGCACACAAACACAAACACACACACGCATCAGTCACGGTCGTCACAGCGTTGACCGACCCTGCGCTGCAGCCACGCCCACAGCCTCACCTTCTTTCCTCCAGGTGAGCAGGTGTCAGGTGGAGGTGTGCTGGTGATGTTCAGAGGACTGGACCCACAGCTGGACGGGGAGGAGCCTCTGATCCTGAAACACAAAAACTGATGTGAAGAGGCTGACAACGATTGGTCGCTACAATTGATTGACAGTTGGACGGTCTAAGAGGAGCCGGGACATTAGCTCCACCCACCTTTGGATCTCCATCACTTCCTCTGCGATCATGCGTCCGATCTTCCCAGCTCCCGCTCTGGTGCCTCCTGGAATTCCTGGAACTGTCTGCAACGCCCGCCTCCCACCACCTCAATCAGGAGAAGCAGAGTCAGAAATAAAGATGTGACCAAGATGTCAAGAAGAAGAGGGGGCGCTGTTGTGGGGTAAGTACAGGTGAAGTGTGATGACTGACCTTCTGAGGTGAGGACACTGTCCATGCTCTGAGGAGACGCAGCAGACTGAGGATAATCTGAACCTTCCATCATAGGACACCTGAGAGCCAGTCAAACAAAAGACCAAAAATGACACACTAAATTAGGATGTTGCTAAAAAATAGGGAAAAAAAAAATCCCAAAATGCTATGATGCTAAAATGCTCTAAGTTGATGATAAACATGCAGAGAAGATAACATTTTGGAAAAACAAAATTTCAACTTCTGACTAAAATGACTTGAAAATTAGGATTTTGCCAAAATGTTCCAAAAAATGAAAATATTTTTTATGTTTAAAAAAACTACTGAAAATGCTTCATTTACCAGAAAACCTGGAACTAAGACCAACACTCTGATTGGTCGACGCTGTATGAAGGTAACAGTGTGTACTTACGACACCACGGTGTTGGTGGACACGATGTACTCCACCTCCTTGGTCCAGGGGTTCATGAAGCTGAACCAGCGACTCCTCAGAGTGATGAAAGAACCGTCTTTGATCTTGAACTTGTAACAGTTGGTGTTGATCTTCTCTCTCATCTGCAGCACTGGAGCCGTGACATCACAGGTAACGTCAGACCATCAGTGTGTGCGCTGGTTTGTTTACCAGTGTGTGTGTGTGTGTTCATCCAACCTTGTCGGTGACATTCAGCCAAGTGTCCAATGTCGTCTTGGTGGAAATACTCGTAGAAGGAGGTTCCCAGGAGCTCCTGAGGGAGGTAGGCCAGGATGGCTGTGGCTCTGGAGGAGGAGAAGAGGAGAAGATGTTCGTCCAGCGTGGCTAACACGCCACGGTTGTAAGGGGTACACTGTATAGATGTAACTACTACATAACACACTATAAATGTTTCTGCAACTGATTATTATTTATATAAGTTACAAATACTGTTCTTTGCTCTGTGTATTAGAAAAACTTTAAATTTTTCAGTTTAAGAAACTCTGCTGACCTGCATTAAATGCTTTTTAAGATCCCGCGGGCCATACAAAATGTCTTGGCGGGCCACAGTTGGCCCCCAGGCCTTGAGTTTGAAACCTGCCCTAAAGTTTATTTCATTCATTTCACTCTATCATTAAGACATTATTTGGTTAACTTTGTCAAATCTCTACACAAATAAAAGTTCTTTTGTTATATTTGACCATAGAGCCGTTGTCGTCGAGTTTCTTTGGTGTTATTTAGTCACTTTCTATAAAATTCAAATGCCTTAAACTGAATTAATAACCTAATCAGGACCTAACCTCTGGTCCTGGGAACTCAGGGAACCCACTCCCACAGTTTTTCCTTTACCTTTGGTCCACAAAGACGAACTTGCCGTCGATGGCGTGTCTGGACACGTACTCCGTGGCTTTGACCCGGATGTCAGCCAGACTGGGTTGGGGCAGGATGTGGGAGTGCAAGCGTCCGATGGCCACCAGGCAGCTCAAGTTACAGCCCTCGTTATCGGGCTCGCTGTCCTCGTCCAGACCCATCTTGGTGGGCGGCCAGCTCTTCAGGTAACCTGTGCTGTGGATGGTGCAGAAGCTCTTCCTGTCTGCTGAAGAGGAGAGGAAACGGGGAGTAAGCTCACAACCTCCTCTTCAACCCAATCAAACGCAACAGAAAAATGTACAGCACATTTTTCGAAAAACATATCTTTTTAAAAATCAGGACAGAAATCTTCTGTTGTAGCTTTAGCTAGCATCTGGCTCTTTAGTAATTTGTCTGGAATCCTTCAGTGAGGTTACAGCACGGTTCAGCTAACATGGGTCTTGACTACACCTTTCTTCTTGGAGCAGGTGGAGGGAAAGTCCTTGTCCTCCACTTTGACTGATGGTCTGTTACACTTCATTCTGCAGAAAAAGGAACGCCGCGCTCCCGAGCAGAGCCGAGATGGACCAGGAGTGATGTCAGTCTTCACTGGGAGACCAGCTGTGGACACACACACACACACACACACGTTAAAACGTCTTACCACGCCCATAATAATAATGATCTCGGCTTACCACGCCCATAATAATAATGATCTTTCTCTCTTATTGTTTATGGGAGCGTCTGGTGGCCAGCAGTGGTACTGCAGCCTCAGTTATTTATTTTTCACACACATGCGGCAGAGCAACATTGATAGCAGTGATAAACAGTGATGTCATTACTTTTAGCATCGATAAGGCGCTCTCGAGGTGCCGTGTCAGAGGATGACAGCTGTTCTTTGACCTTGGCAATGTCCTTAGGGTGGAGGTAGTCAAAGAGGCTTTGACCAATCAGATCATTCTGAGAGAGGACACAAAGAAAAACACAAAATAAACATGAAACATTATGAGCTATATTATAATTTGAGGTGAAAACCTGAGATGAATCTGTTCAGAAGAAAAGAATAAAGAATAAAAAATACCTGACTGTAGTTGAGAATCTTGTAAACCGATTCAGAAACAAAAAGGATTTTCCCACGGTCACAGCCGACCACAAACAGGAAGCCATCGGCCGCCTGGAACACACATTCACAGAGCACAGACGTCAGGAACCAATCAGAAGTACCAATACACTCATTTGACTTCACTCTGAGTCGTCGAGCAGTGAACTATAAACAGTCAAAGACTTCAGACCACTCTGCACCAAAGTCCATCAGGAACACAGACTGACTGATGTAGACTGACACAGACTGCTGAAAATGTGATGCTAAATGATGTAGCCTAAGGCGCTCTCAGACTCACCCTGAGGATCAGGTGCTTGAGTTCATCATCTGACAGGAAGGCGGGTTTATAGTTGGCCTCCGTGTAGGGGTTTGCAGCACCTGCACAGAGCAGCAAACACGGATTACTTGTACGTCTTGTGGTATCAATTATCAATTGTTAAGGTTTTAAACACTGCTTGGCCTCCTGCTGCTCCTCCTCCTCCTCCTCTTTGGCCTCCTGCTGCTGCTCCTCCTCCTCACCTCGGAGTGTCTTCATGTGCTGCACAGCCATCCTCAGCACCGTCAGTTTGTCCAGTTTGCGGGACATGGCGTTGCAGGTGGGGACCAGAGACGCCAGCTCATCGATGAAACTGTTCATTTTATCTCTGCGCCGCTTCTCAATCTGACTGTGGGCTTCTCTGTGGAGGAGCAGGAGAAGAAAGGAGGAGATGAAGACCATGATGATGAAGATGAACCATATTTACACACAGAGCAGACTTCCTGTTAGAGATAGGAATGTGTTTAGTACCTGGCGTTTTTAATCCGTCCATGCTGGTCACTGCAAGGACAAAAACAAATATTTGAGTGAGTCACACGGAGGGGCGGAGCTTGTCTAAATGGAGCTGCATAATTGGTTAATGTGAAACAGGGAAAAGGGAGTTTTTGTACAAGCCTCCATGAAAATTAAATTTTAAAACATTCAAATTTTATCTACTAGAGTGTGGCGAGACATGACAAAAACTGTTAAGTCAATATTGATGAAAAAAAGGAGACATGATTATCAATACCTTTGAAAGTCACAAAAACAGATAAAAGAAGAAAAAGAACAACATAAAAAAACCCTGCAGAGTCAAATGATTATATCCTGAATAACAATAATAAAAAGAAAAACCCTGATCTTTATCTCTCATCTTTAATAAAAGGTGAACTGGACCTTTAAACAGTCAGGACAAACACAGAGTACCAGATTGGGATTCTGCTGAACTCACCTTCCTACTTTGTCTTTGTCTGGATCCATGTCACTGATTAGAGAAAAAAAAATCAATCATTACACAAATCAATAATCACATCAATTATGATTATAATCATTATTATTAAGGAATACAGAAGGATTTCTCAGGTCCAACTTACTCAAATGAGAAGCCATCAATTCTGAAAAAAACAAAAAACAAAAACACTTGGTTACTAGTTTCCTTTCTTCATCATTTCCACTACATTTGTCTGAATATACAGCATTTCTTTGTCTCTGTGTTAACATCCACCTCCTCTTTGTCTCACTTCAGTTCTTTTTCTCACATTTCCCCTCATTCTTCTTCCTCAGTTTCTTTCCTAGTTTCACTTTCTTTTCTTTCCTCATCTTCCCTTCCTTTCATCCTCTCCTTGTTACAACAAAATGTGCTATCTTTCCATCACTGTGTTTCCTATTTCCTCTCCTTTCTCCTCCCAACAAAACGTGCTATCTTTCCATCACTGTTCCACTTTTTCTTTCCTTATTCCAATTCATTCACTTTTCTTGTTTCACCCATTTGTTTCCTATTTCCTCTCCTTTCTCCTCTCCTCTGTCTCCTCTACAGTGTTCTGTGTTCTTCTCACTGGTAGTCGGTGCTGCTGCCTTTCCTCTTCCTGGTGTAGTCCATGCCAGGCGTGCTGATGGAGGAGGAGATGAGGTCGGTGGAGCTGGGGGACATGAAGTCACTCATGGTGGAGGAGATGTCCATCCTCTGGTCGGCCATTAGGTCGTCTGACAGGAACACAGATCAGTGAGGTCAAACCACTGACCACAGTGATGTTTGTTTATTATTTGTACATGTGAAAGACTCACCACAGATGTTCATCACTGCCTCTGTGTTGAAATCATCTCCTTCCATCCACACAGGAGACCACAACTACACACACAAACAGAAAACATTACATTAATAAAGTTCTAAATTAATTAATAACTTGGGATGTAACGATGCATCGTGAATCTGAATATAAATGCGTGACAATCTGCATTGACTGAAATTGAAAATAAATTGCATCTCAAGGTGTAAGAAGCAGGCTGCGTTATGTCAAAAAGTCACTGGTCATACCAGGAGACTACACACTACAGTACAGTAGGTGGAGCTGTCTGCTTAAAAATGTTGGTTGTGATTCGTTGTTAAACCACAACGTGACAGCTGCCCCTCAACTTAAAAAAAAAAGATTAAATATTAAAAGATAAATGAATGAAATTAATATGCTGATGCTGGTACCTGGGTCAGGGACTGGAACTGGCCTCCTGCTGGTGGCCCTGCTGTTTTCTGTGAATTATTGAACTTCAGCAGCTTCAGACCAGGTTTCAGATTAAACCTAGTGCTGTCGGAGGCTAAGGAGGTCAGAGGCCACTTCACTAAGAAGTCATGTGATTTCTGAAGAACTGCTATTCACTTTTCAAACCTGAGAAGGAGAGAAGGTTGGTTACATTTACTGTAAACGGAAACTTGTGCATTTAGTGCTACAAGGTTTTTACACAGTTCACCCACCAGAGGTCACAGGTCTACTCTTTCCTTCTGTGGTCAGCTGACACCTCAGGGACACTGACAGAGACAGATCTGCGGAGATAAACAGGTAAGTGGTTAGTTCAAAGATGAATATGAAGTTGGTCCAAACTGTAAAACTCCCTGAGTTGGTCAGCACAGCTGTAGCACGTCAAAACATCGACTCATGATCAAGCAGTGAAACTCAGTCAGCAACTCAATGCCATTTATGTCCAATAAACAACGCCACCTCCACTAACAATGAATCACCAACCAACTAATCAACTTAAAAAAATGTTGCAGTGAACAGATGAAAAATACTTACATAAATATTAAACATAATGAAGCATAAGAAATACGGTTGTTTAGGTTTACCTTACTTAATCATTGTCTCAAATTGAATATGATTGGGAACGGTTGCTAATTTGAATACTTTAAAATATAAATGTAAATTAATTATTACACAACCATTAATTAACAATGTTTAAATTGCAGTCTACATTTATTAATACTTTAGTAATACTTTTACTTAATACTTTTATTCTGAATGTAAATGAAAAAAATAAAATTAATGTTTTGAATGGCATTACAAATAACTCTTGATAATGTCTCTACGTTAATGCCTAGTAATGTTCAACTGCAACATTTTATATATATTATTTATCAGGGCTAAGAGACAAAATCCTTGAAGATTATTTTAAACTCATGGATTAATAGTCTGTTTCGACTGTGTGTATATAATGTCTGAGGCTTGGATTTAACATAATTCTCATGTAAAAACGCTTGGATTTAACATAATTCTCATGTAAGAAAGCAGCAGAAAGTCGATTAACCCCGTAACAACAGCGTTTAACATCCTACTCTTAAAAATGCAGCCTTTTCAGGGCACACATTGAATATCAAAAACAAATCTGTACCAGATCAGTGAATATCCTGCCCATGGGAATTCTACAGTACGTAAATGTGACACCAATGTACATATTAATATATACATACAATATATAAACTATTTCTGGTCGAATAAATAAATTAAATACACTTAAATATATTTTACTTACAATATTTATTTTATTTAAGAAATGTTTAATTGACAAAATGTTTTACATATTTGACAAATTAATTTAAGATGAAACAAAATGTGTTCCTGTATATCTGAAAATGCTGCCGAGGATAATAAACGTCACTGCGGCCTGTTTACAAACGTAGCCTAGCCTAGCCTGCTAGCTGCACAGTTTAGTAGCGAGACATTGACCTTTATCGAAGAAAAACAACCGTCATTGAAACCAAGTCTTGGGGCTTTGAGCAGGCGAAGAAAGGAAGATGCTCTGGTGGGGAGCGGAGGGGAGGAGAATCGGAGCCCATCAACCCTATTCCGGGGTTAGCATGGAGGCTAAATGTTAAGCTAACAGTGAACCGATGTTTGTGCGCACGCGCGACACTGCAGCTATTTCCTGTTATGGTTCCATCATTTCATAACTTGAAAATAGTAAAATAAAGGATCATAAAGAAAAAATACACAGAAAACACCAGTGTGAAAGAGAAAGAATCAGAGTGAAAATGACGGTGGGCACAAGGGAAAATTGGTGGCAGTTATAAAAAGGAATCATGTACATTTGATAAACATAAAGATGCAAAGTATTTTTTTTTACTTGTAAAAAAAACAAAACAAATACCCTTGTTTAATCGCAAAATTCTCGACGTTGTTCTTTCTTTGACTCTACCCTAATTTTATTGTTTTAGCGCTTTAAAATATATGAAGTATGTGTAGTGGTTAAAGAATTGGGTCAAATAATAAATGCATTTTAACAATGTTCACAGTAAAATCAATGCGAGTAGGTAACATGTCGATATTGTATTTTTAAGTACTAGATAGATCCTGGTGATAACAGGAAGAAGTTTACAGAAGCGCATGCTCAGAATGAACATATATTGTGTTAGCCGTGTTAGCATCTAGCAGTTAGCACTGGCTAACTCGGTCAGAGCCTCCTTTTCCTCCTCCTCCTCCTCCTGCTCCAAATAAAAAACACACACTGACATGAACATGGCCGCAGCACTGGGAAACAACGACAATCATCCGGAGCGATGTAACGTTAGCAGAAGCACCCATGTGTCGGAGCTCGGAAAGATCACCCGCAATGTACTCACCGAATGTCCGCTGAGGTGAGCCGCAGAGCCGGGGCGGTGAAGTAACAGCAGTTCGGTGACATAAACGAATCCCAGCCGCTGACCCACTTTCCCTGCACCGTCATGGCTGTCGCACCACTAACCTACTTTCTCTACCAATCAGAGCAAAGCAGCCGACGGCTACAACGCTGTAGCCAGTCAGAGATAAGATCAGCCCAGATACACCTGACTGACACCCTCATCGACCAATGAGAGTCAGAGCAGAGCGGAATTTAGACCGTGCGTTTATGTGTGTATTTTAGTTTATGTCAAACACGAGGACCAGCTTTCACCATAATTGTCGTGTCCACAATCAAGAATTTGTACGAGTTTTTCTTCTGTCTTAAAAACTGAACTTTATTCCTGGCTATCTGTTAGACTTATAAATATAGTCCAAAGGAAAAGAAGGCTGTTTCATCATGACAAAAATGTAAGGTGTTGTGACGTGAACGGTTTTGCCACCAGGGACGGAAGTGACGGAATAAATAACAAAATAGTCATTAATGATAATAATGACGGCAATTTTAATTTTAAAAATAACCACCTTATGTAAATCTTAGACATGGGAGCTGCTGGTCCACTACCGCCCCCTGTGGTGTTTCTGTCACTGATGTGAGTACAATAAAAATGTACAATAAATGACTGTCAGACTATTGTCGTGGCTGAAATAAACCTGCCTTTGTAACAGTTACCAATAAATTACTAAATTCACTGGTTCTCTTATGAAGAGGTTTTATTTAGAAAAACTTAGTTCAACACACGCTTGTATGTGGGAGGTGTAAACAGCAGACACCATCACAGAAATAAAGTGTTACCAGATAAAACTGCTGCTGTTCCAACTGTGAGATGAGAGAGAAAAGGAGGAGAGAGATGGAAAAAAATATACAGAACAAAAAAGGCAACAGGAAGGAAACCAAAGTGAAAATGGAAGAGGCGTGGGTTGATGAAAATGGACCAGGACTGAGTAATAGGAGAAAGACTTGAGCTGGAAGAAAAAAGAAGATTGAAGGGAAGGGTAAAAAAACGAGAAAATTGACAGAAAGAAAAAAAAGACGGTGGAGAAGGATAAAGACAAGCTGGTGTGAGATGTGTAGGAGGAGGAAAGGGAGAGGAAAGAAAAGATGGGCAGGATGTTGGTGGGAAAGGTGAAAGAGCGACCCCTGTATTCACACTGAGACAACAGGCTAACGTGCCACCTGTTAACACATTTGCTCATTGGCCCTTTGTATGATTTATTTGTACTTGTACTGCAAATCGATCAGCTGACCTGTATTAGCTGAAGGTACTGATTGATGCTAACACACGTAGGTTATCTTATTGCTTTTGTGCGGCGTCTGTGCTTCTTCGAGTTGTGTGTGTTACAAATTAGCTGACCAGCGTCAACTGGTCAAATGAAATATTTCAATATATATGTGCTAACTTATGGTGTGATGAAAAAGCTTTGTGCTCCAGTGCTCACAGATGTTACAGTATCTGTTAGTCTCTTAGCTAATTCATCTTAGCATTTAGCTGGCATGGACACTTGCTGTCCTTGTTTGTGCATCTCTACTTCTAGGTCAGGTGACCAGATGTCTTATAAGCTGTCGTGGTCACCGCAGTGTTCTTTGCTACTGTAGCTAAAGTGTCATTACCGAAGGAATATTTGATTATGTTCATATGTTTGTTGAGGCTGCTGAAAGGTTATGTGACCCATGTCAACATGTTAGTCATGGTTGTCACTGAAGTGCTTCTCTAGTTCTTCAGTAGATCAATGCCCCAAAGTGGCTAAGCTAATGGGCTAGCTTGTTTATTAAAGCAGCAGTTTTACACTGTGTTTAGAGGTCAGTATTCCTGTGCAACCCCTGTTAGCTAATACCAGCCCTTTGTTATCTTGTTTCAGATGATAGCCTTTTGAAGAGCTAATATTAAGGTGTTACCTGGTATTAGCTGACCTGCATGATATTAGCCTGCTAGGTGTAAAGACATGAGTTGGAATAATGAGAACTAACAGTAGAGGATAGTGTTCCTCTCAGTCTGATGGTGACCACAGGTCTGGACTCGAGTGCATTTTTGTCAAGCGGGGTCTCAGGGGTCTCTGATTCTGGCCCTGGCATCTTAGTCTTGCTGCTGTGCTTCATCTCCAGGGGGCGATGTCAAATTTGGTCTGGGCTCTAGTCCTAGACCCAGTCTGCAGAAGAAAATGTCAGGTCTGGGTTTGTTGCTGATTCTAGTTTGGTCCATTCAGGACGATGGTCCGACTCTTTCTGCTGCTGGTTGCTGGTTTCTACTGACGATACTAGTTCTTGAACAGTCCTAGACGTGGTTCTGCTCCTCATCCTGTATAATGTGGTCCTGAGCTGTACATTCTGGCTGAGCATCGTCACTGCTGTCCTGGCACATCTCCAGCACCACCTGCTGGTGGGGAGTGATGACGAGGGATTGCAGTGAACCTAGCTGTTCCACAGGCAGTTCCAGGACTAACAGTTGGTCATTCCTGGTCCTGGTTTCTGACTTGGACTGGGCACACTGAAAGTCCCCATGGTGACTCTTCTCTTCCTCCTTCTCCCAGGACACCCTGATAAAGGGCCGCTGAACACAGGTGTAGACCACCCCTGGACCTCCTTCGGGACCACACTGAATCTTCTCCTTACAGGTGGGGTAACCTTCACGGGGTTCAGAACACCACATAAGACAATAAAAAAGTAAACATTGCCAGGACCATTATGGACTGGTACTAAATCAACCTGGTACAAATTGTCTGCTTAAAAAGTTCTAAATTGGTAACTACCTTCAGCAGACTGGTACTAAATCAACCTGGTGCAAATTGTCTGCTTAAAAATAAAGTTCTAAATTGGTAACTACCTTCAGCAACTAGTTCCAAACACTTTTATGTTACTTAAATCTTTGAAAGTGTTGCTGAAGCAGAAGTAAAAATTCTCACCTTCAACTCCCAGTCGAATCTTCTTAAGTCCTCGTTCCTTCAGAACTGATTTGGCCACAACTCGGTTCTCCATGAACTTGAAGAACTGGTACAGTTTGGTACTGTGGAGGACTGGCATTGACAGTGGAATATCCAGAATCAGTACACTGACCTGAGGTGTGTTCCATCAACAAGAACAACGTAACAAACAAGCTTCTTACTCTGCAGATTCTCCTCTGCCATTGGAGGCGCACACTCCTCTAAGTCCACTACATCATGGTCCATTAGGACCACCACGTGACACTCCCTCTCCCCACTCTGAGCACTCGCAACCATGAGGGGGAGCACCATTTCCTCAAGGTAGCGCTCAAACTGACGTCGGGCTCCTTGGTTTAATTCTTTGTGCATCAGGGAACCTGAGGAGGAGGGACCACAGAAGATGGTGAGGAAGAATCATGGAGATCATCCTCTTGTGTGTGCCGACACTCCTAAGCCTGACTTTTGGGTTTCCTTGTTTATAGTTGTGTGCTTGTGTCAACCTACCTAAATTCCCAACGTTGCTGTGATTGATGTGAATGCAGAAACGTTGCAGCGTCTTCTGCAGCTCTGGAGGACAAGGTCCATCAGGAAAATGTATAATTCCAGAGCTTTGGGAATTCTGAGAAAAAGGATGAAAAAAAGGAGGAAGGGAGGGAGGGAGAGAGGGAGAGAAAGAGAGAATGGGAATGTGCACCAATTAACACAGATTATAATGTCAATAAAAAGCTAGTTTATTAGTTGAAGTGTTATGGCTTAGTTTAGCTCATTTGCTCTGATTTAGGAGGAGTTCTTACAAGGATTGCTCTGAAGACTGTTGAACTGATATCATCAGTGATGTCATCAATGACCTTCTCATTTGGCCACGTGAGTTCATTGTACTGTTCAGAACCAAACATCCTGCAAGTACAAGATCAATGAGTTAGTTTGGAGTCAATTCACTCTGATCAAAGGTACGCCTAGAGCCTAGTGGGTTCTAAAGATGGGGGCGAGGTAGTACAGCATCGAGATGTATGTGGTACCATAAGTTGACATGTCGATTTTATTCTCCGATAAGAAAAATCTGATTAAGGCAATGCCTGGGTTTCGCCAAATATGCTTCCTGGATTTTGCCAAATATGCTGGAATCACTTGTGGGGTCCTGAGATATTCATTGCCGATTTAGCAAAAAACAAACGCATATATTGTTATCGGTATCAGTTGATATCAGAATTAGACATATTAGATTTTGGCAAAAAGTTAACATCGGAAATCCCTAGTCAGAAGTCATCTTTAGAGCAAAATTGTGCAAAAGACATTTTTCTAATTTGTGTCTTCAATTATCAGAACACTCAGAAGAACTTTTTTGCGATCAGAATTTATCTATCTGTGACGCGGATACAGGCAGATTGGGGTCACCTGTCCAGCAGGCTGGTGGTCCGAGCGGTGTCTAGGATCAGTGAGATTCTGTCTCCAAGCCTGGTTCCTAGTTGTAGTTCCCCACGACAGATCATGTCCTGCTGATGGTCCATGTGTCCAGAGACACTCTCGACTGCAGGGTTTCTCTCTACAATCCTGGATCTGACCATGAGGGGGCAGGGTCCAGAAGATCTAGAGGGGATGGAGACTCTGGGACCATGACGTTGGTTCAGCACTGACGTGTTCCTGACATGCAGCATCAGTTCACGTCTGTCCCCTTGGTCTGTGGTAACACCAACACGTTCCCCACAGCAGTGACCCTCCTGGTCCTTGCTTCTTTCTGTGACACCAGCATTGACTGGACTGTAACCAAGGAGACTCATGGTCTTGAACTTCCTCTGCTGCGGGAGATCTGAGGTCCATGCTGACAGAGGGCACTGTTCACTGCTGGAGACACAAGATAATCGTTGATGGTTACGGTAAGGAGTAGGCTCAAAAAGTCACTGGTCATACCATGAAGCTACACACTCCACTACAGTAGGTGGCAGTATGTGTCAGAAAACATTGGTTGTGACGCTCTACTAAATCGAGATGTCAGGTCAGATAAGAACTGTTATTAAAGAGAACAATTTCAGTTGATGATGGGATTTTACACAGTTCTGACAAAATAAGGAGATCAGTGGATTTGGTCACAGTTTGACTGGAGCTCATTTGGTTTTAAAAAAAGCATGAATCAGATCGTGAGTTGAGTGTATCGTTACAAACCTATTTGAATGTGGTTTTCAGCTTCGTCTTTAAATATTAGAATGTGGAGTGGACAGAATGCTAGTTAGCCACTATGTTCACAATAATAAAGAATCGCCACATTTTGAGTCTTTTGAGCAAAAGAAACAATTAATCACCACAACAGTACTCAGATTAGTGATGCCCAAACTCTCGATGAACTGAAGCCTGGATCATCAGCAGATGAAAGTCACAACATCGTCAACATCAAAGCTGCATCACTGTGGTGTCAGCAGGTGTTTCTAAATGCTGTCTGTCCTGTTTGATCAACAGGTGGCAGTAATGCAACAATATAGGATTCACGTGGACAGGGAACAGCTGAGCAGGAAACTGTTTCACTACTGAAATGTCACCAATCCAACTAACTGACCAACGACCAGGCTGAGGCAGAGGGAAAGTGGTGTGAACGTCACTGATGACAACTTCCTGTCAACAGCTGCTGTTAAACACTGACTTTTAGACAAATCTGTGGCTGCATGACCATGGACAACAGAGACATGGACGCCAAACAGTGTCTGAAGTACCTATATCAACTGGTGGGGGACCTGGATGATGGTGTCCACCACATCGAGGCAGAGTGTAAGGGGCTGAGGGAGGGTTCACATCATCAACTGCAGTTGGACGACCTGTGGGAGGAGCTACAGCTCTCTGAACAACTAAATGAGCAGGAACTCAGTGACGAAAAGGCCAAAGCTGACCAGCTCTCTGACAAACTAAAGACTGAGGTGATGAAGAACCAGACTCTGACCAATGAGAACCTGACCCTGACCAACAAGAATAACACTCTGACCAATGAGAACCAGACTCTGACCAATGAGAACCAGAGTCTGTATAATGAGAATGTGATTTTGACCAGTGAGATTCAGACTCTGAGAAAAAACAACCAAAACATGAGCAAAGAGAACCAGACTCTGTACGGTGAGAAACTCCCTCTGACAAATGAGATTCGGAATCTGACCAAAAACAACGAGACTCTAGTCAATGAGAAACAAACCCTGACCAACAAGAATAACACTCTGACCAATGAGAACCAGACTCTGACCGGTGAGAACCTCACTCTGACTAATCAGATTCAGAATCTGACCAAAAACAACGAGACTCTAGTCAATGAGAAACAAACCCTGACCAACAAAAACCAGACCTTGACCAAAGACAACCAGACCCTGACCAAAGAGAAGCAGACCCTAACCAATAAGAACCAGATTCTGACTGACAAAAATCAAACTCTGACCAATGAGAATCAGACTCTGAATAATGGGAATGTGAATTTGGCCAGTGAGATTCAGACTCTGAGAAAAAACAACCAGAACATAACCAAAGAGAACCAGACTCTGACCGGTGAGAACCTCACTCTGACTAATCAGATTCAGAATCTGACCAAAAACAACGAAACTCTAGTCAATGAGAACCAGACCCTGACCACTAAGAATCAGACTCTCAACAAAGCCAATCAGACTCTGACTAAGGAGAACCTGAATCTAACAAACAAGAACCAGACACTGACCAACGAGATCCAGACTCTGACCAATGAGAACCAGACACTGGTCACTGGGAAACAGACTATGACCAACGACATTCAGATTCTGACCAAGGACAAACAGACTCTGACCAATGAAAACTTGACTTTGATTAAAGAGAACAAGACTCTGACCAACAAAAACCAGACTCTCACCAAAAACAACCAGATTTTGACAACTCAGAACCAGAGTCTAACCACAGAAAATGTGAGTCTGACTAAAGTAAATGAGTCGTTAGCCAATGAGAACCAATCTCTGGCCAAAGAAAAGCAGACATTGTCCGAGGAAAACAAGTCTTTCTCAACTAAAAACAAGATTTTGACCAAACACAGTGAGACCCTGACAAACAGGAATGAGACTCTGACGACAGAAAACCAGACTCTGACCAACAACAACAGGTTTCTTACAACAGAAAACCAATTGTTGACTAAAAAGACTGGCATTCTGATTGACGACAGTAAGACTCTGACAACCGAAAACCAGTCATTGACCAAAGAAAACGAATCTCTGAGCGCAGAACTGGAGAAGGAGCGCCACTGTAGACGGCAGCTCCAAACAGAGATGAAGAAATATGAATCTCTCAACAAGAAGTATGAGTCCTTGACAAAAGAGAATGAGTCTTTGGCCAAAAAGATTGAGCTTTTGGTCAGTGAAAATGAAATTATAATAAAAGACAAAGACTCTTTGACCAAGAGAAATGAGTCTTTAACCAAGAGGAACGAGCCGCTGACAAAAAAGACAGAGTCCCTGACTAAAAAGAATGAGTTTTTAAACAAAAAGATAGAGTCTCTGATAAAAGAGAGAGAGTCTTTAACCAAAAAGAACGAGTCTTTGTCCAAAAAGATTGAGAACTTAACAAAAGAAAGAGAGTCAGGGATGAAAAGGTGCGAGTTGCTCGTCAAGAAGAACGAGTCTCTGAACACGGAGAAAGAGTCCCAGGCCAAATGTATCGATTCCCTGACGTCAGAGAAAGGCTCTCTGATGTCAGCGAAAGAGTCCTTGACAAAAATAATCAGGTCCTTAGAGACAGAGAAGGAGTCCTTGATAAAACTAGCTGAGACTGTGACTGCAGATAACGAGTCCTTGACTAACAAGAACCAGCTCTTGATGACAGGAAATGACTTCCTCACACAAAAGAATGAATCACTGACTACAGCAAATGAGTCTCTGAACGCAGGGAACACGTTTTTGACAAAAGAAAACAAGTCCCTTACCAGAGAGAAAGAGTCTGTCACTAAAAACAACGAGTCACTGTCACAAAAGAACAAATTTCTCTGCTCAGAGATGGAGTTTTTGACCAAGACCAACGAGTCTCTGACCGAAGAGAACAAGTTTTTAATGTCAGAAAATGAGTCTAAAGATGAAAACAACGAATCCCTGTTGGAAAAAATTGAGTTTCTCACTACGGAGAACGAGTCTCTGATGAAAGAAAACAAAACCCAGACCAAAAGAAATGAGTTTTTGTTGTCCGAGATCGACGCCACGACCAAGAACAACACATCTCTGACAAAAGACAACGAGTCCCTACTCCAACAAAACAACGTCCTCATATCAGAGAACAATTCCTTGACTGAAAAGAATGAGTCTGTGATAGCTGAAAACGAGTTCCTAACCAATGAGAACCAGTCCCTCACCAAAAAGAATGAGTGCCTAGTTGAAGAAAACAAGTCAATAACGAAAGAGCACAAGTTTCTAATCAAAAAGAACGAGTGCCTGACCACAGAGAATGGACTCCTTACCAGAAACAGTGACAGTCTGACCACAGAGAACCAGTCCCTGAAGAGTAAGGTGGAGTCCTTGTCCAAAGAGATGGAGCTGGTGTCTGCGGCCCTGAAGGAGCAGGTCAATCGGACTCTAGAACTCAGTCAGGAACTAGAGAACATCAAAGTAGATAATAGTGAGCTTCGAGCTGAGAACGAGAACATCCTACAGGCTGTGGAGAGGATAAGGACACGTTCTCTGTGGGTTAGAGCGCGACATTTTTTTGGTCTGCGGGAAAAGTGAGTGTTGTGCCAAGTTCCAAGCGTTGGAGAAAGAGTCACGCTAACCTCTGCCAGAAGGGGGCAATCTTCAACGTAGCTGATGAAGAAGATAGCGTCAAGTGGACTACCCAATTCACCCGGTACTGTTAAAGGCACTGAATGATCAGGATCCAGTCTCAACACCCAAACTGCAAGACCAGACTGAGGTCACTCTGACGTGAACCGAGCATGAAAGTTTCTTCTGCGGAACATTTGAACCAAACGGTACTTCACTTTACACAGTCCACAAAAATGGTACTAGTGGGACCATTGTTAGAAGAAAGGAGCATAAAAATGGCTATCTCGCTGTTTAACTGAACTAAATAAATTTGTAATGAATACCATGTGTATGTGTCTGGTGGTTTTCTTAAAATGAACATATATATTGTTGTTTATTATTTTGACCGTTCATAACAATCTAGTGCAGGCAAGGACAGACTACGGCCCCGGGGTCCATATCTTTTATGTATGACTTTTACATGTAATTTATCTTAGTTTACATGAACACAGCATCTATCTACTCCTGAGCTGGCCCCCCTATCAAATTTTAGGATCCATTGAGGCCTACTCCTGAGCTGCCCCCCCTATCAAATTTTAGGATCCATTAAGGCCCGCGAGTCTGTTTGCCCACACCTGATCTAGTTGGTCAGTAAAGTGAAACTTGGTAAAAAACGTCCTTACTTTGGCTTTTGGCTGAAATCACAAACTGTCTGTTTGCATTTTGAACTCATTTTTTCACACGCCTTTTTGGTAATGCAGAGGTTTTGCGTGCGACCTCTAGTGAGTCTGCAGAGACACTGCAAGGTGCCTAAAATATTAAAAAATATATATTATTTAATATTTTAGTCAAAAAAAGTCATATATTTCTTAGCATTGTGTGTATATTTCCGTTTTAGATATATATTTATGTCCTTCGCTGACACAGTGTAAGTTCAAACGAAAGGCTCCCCAGGTTCAGTTTTAATCACAATGACATTAAATATGTGAAGGATTCAAAATACAGAAGAAAAATCATGAACGTGCAGTTTTTTTCTTTTTTTTTCTTCTTTTGACCAAGAATAAAGAACGGTAAAAAAAAATCACATTAACATGACGGAGGGATTTCAGTTTTAGCAGCACAGAGGACAAAGAGTCAGCCTGGCTTTGGTGCGTGCGTGTGTGTGTGTGTGCACGTACCGTTGGCTGAAGACAAAGCAGCAGCAGCAGGACAGAAGCTGTGGCAGCAGTGGCGTGAACACCGTCCACAGCTGAGCTGCAGCAGCATCATCCTGCTGCCTCATCGCTGACCTGAAGCTGCTGATTCGGCTGATGCTGAAGAAGCTGCTGATGCTGAATATGATGCTGATGCTGGTGCATCCTCATGGCAGCAACGAAACACCTGAGTGAACATGGAGGAGCAGAAAGACGACCGAACTAAAGCAGAAACGACCCCCCCAGAACCAGCGGTACAACCTGACAGGAACCTGGTGCTGTGTCCTGGTGATGAGGATGAGGACGATGTCGAAGCCTGCACGCGAAGCTCCTAGACTCCACTTATCGCCTCTCGCTCGCTACCTGCTGGTTACTGGCAGTAACTGCAGCCCCATTTCATTACCCCTTCCGAAAAGGTCCGAAAAAACAATTAATTTAATTCGACATCCTCTCCGTCCCAGATGTTTTAGTGACATATTTTGTCTCCTTTGACAGTTGCACATATTAACTTCAATTATATAAAGTCATTTCTATATGTCGTATTCAGTTTTATATTTGTACTCCATTTATATATTTGTATTATACTCTAAATAAATATTCCCAAACACTTATTCCCACGCGGTGTGAATGTTTGAAAAAAATATATCAGATTTTCGCTTTAAAAGCGTCGCGGTTACACCTTATTCCGGAATTAAAAGAAAAAAATAATAATCAGATTTTCGCTTTAAAAGCGTCGCGTCACATTCAGTAACGTTCCAATAAATATATGACCTCATTTTCTTGTCTTTCTTAGATAAAACATTTTAATAATTTCAGTATTGATGCTATAGTCAAACCCATTATTATTCACAATGCAAAGCTTGTTTAAATAAAGCGAAACTGCAAGGTACCGCTGCAATATCAGTAAGACGCTAATTTAAATATTAATATTTCGTTTTTTAATTAAAATAATTTATTTTTAATAAACTTTTAACGAAAAATACGCAGAGAAAATATAATAAAAATTAGCTAGGCTAACCGGAAGCAGTTTATTTTAGCGCTGACAGCGGAAATGACGTAAGGCTCACTTATTGTGGGTGATGTATATTTCTTACTGATAAATACGTATTTCTTCATTAAAATTTAAGCTGTGTTTAATACAGACCAGACGAATGTTTCTTTTTAAAGTAAAAGCCGATATATTTGTGAAGTACCTAAAAGAAAATATTCTAAAAAAAAAAAAAAAAAAATTCTTCATAATAATCTCCAGTATATACTGCTGTAAATTCTGATGTCAGACTTATTTACAGCTTTCCCCATTTTCCTTAATAGCCAAAGTTTTTCTGTTTTGACTGATATAATGACGACTCACAGACCTGTGGTTTGTTAGAAAATAATTTAATAACATTTAAATCAATACTCAAAGTTCGTCTCCTCAAAACTTCCGGCACAAATGAAAAATCACATTATTTCCTGTTTCCTCCTCCGCTGTGATCACATGACTGCCTGCTGTGGTGTGTTTATGTGACTTGTGGCTCAGTCTCTGTTTCAGTCCTGCCCCCTCCTTTTTCTTCTGTGTTTTGATCAGTTTAAGAAAAATAAAAGTCTTTGTCTTCCAAAAGAAATTGCTACACGAAAACCGGGGTGAGGAGGGGGAAGCAAAGCAAAGTGACTCCACCCCTTCATCTCAGAGCATATCAAAGGAAGAAATTACATCGAATGTAATGTAATACAAACAAGAGGAGACGCAGCTCGATACTTACGCACCAGAGATACGCCCACATCAAGGACACGCCCACACAGCAAGCGAGCAGGGGGCGAAACCTGCTGTCTTACCTCGTCTGCTCTGCAGCCAATTGGCTGATCAGTCTGCAGACGTCAGCCATCATCTCTTTGAGCTCCGCCCACCAGGCTCACGCCCACCTGCTCACATTGGTCGACTAATCGTTTCAGCCGCTCTGCGGGGCCACAGTCAGCAGCTTCAAACAGCAGGCGCTGGAGGGGTGGAGTCACAGGTTCACAGACGGTTACATCTCTATAATGTTCATATATCATGTGTACTGTGACTGTGTGTATTATGTGTGTGTAGTGCGTATTACATGCGTCCACAACTCAGCACACAGTGGAAGGAGCTTCAGTGCTTGTTGATACAGAAGCCGCACCTACAAACACATACACACAAAAAATAAACTATAACATGACTGAAATCACATGACTGACAGGGACAGGGTTCAAATACACCGTGTAGCCCAGAACTAAAACCAACCATAAAATTAAAAATGGCCGACATCCAATGGATTTCTTGCTTAGCCTGATCGCATCATGTTAACACATCTAGTGAAAACAGCAGGTTCTGGGCTTGAGACTCAGTCATAATATCTCAATTCCAAAGTTGGAAGCCAAGCACAATAAACAGTAACAATGTCCTTTAATGCAGATGTGTTCTAAAACTCCTTCGATGTGTTCTCCTTCGACATGTGGTGCACTGTTTTTGTCGGTGCGTTCTGCTGTCAAATTTCACATCATGATGACATTAGGAGAAAGAGTGACTCACCTCAGACGTCTGATGGAGCTCCGCCTCCACAGCAATGGCTCTGCCAACACACGCATGCACGCACACACACACACATGTGCACACACGCAGACTTCAGTTCCCGTTGTAATCCATAGCCGTATATTTTTTTTCACATTGTGGTTGACTCACAGTTTCCAGGCGCTCAGGTTTCTAGGCACGTTGTTGATCAAAATGCGGGTGGAATATTTCACCTGCTGCAGGTTTCCATCCTGCAGCTCCTTGTCAAGCGACCTGAGAAAAGACACAGCAATTGACACAGCGACCAGCAGGTGGTGTGGTTCAACCGTTTTCATTAGGCCACGACCGTCACAAACTCAGAAGGTTTGCATGTGAGTGCTTAGGTCTGCATACCTCAGGTTGAGCTCAATGTTATTAGTCATTGCAGGTCTGAGTCTCTCCAGTAGCAATGAATGCTGGGATTGTGGGAGGAGCCTGAGATAGAAACTGATCACCTGACAGTGACAGTAAACAGACGAGTGAGTGGGTGAACAGAGGAGACACGGAGACATCAATGATGGAGTGAAGCTCGGACCTTGTTGTGAAAGCTGTAACAGTTCCAGAACTGGGCGGGGTTAAAGGGAACCTCCAGTCGGGTTGGGACTGTGATGAGGCAGCGCTGGACCAGATCTGAAAAGGCTTTGAATCGGCTGCGTGCAGAGCTTCGGGTCATGTGACTGCTGCCGAACAGCAGGTAGCTGAGGAACAAAGTAGGTTCAGGTCAGTTCCCTGCTGAGTCCTGCAGTATTGGTTCTGACTGCAGAGAGCACTCACTCCATCCACAGGGTGTGAAGCTCGTCCAGGTTCAGGTCTGATCCCAGAGCCCGTTCAAAGGCGTCCACAGCCACGTCCACGGAACCGTGCAGCCACTGCCACTGACTGGAAACAAACAGTTCCGGATTAACAGGGTTAATGAAAGGAAGAAAGTTATGTTTAAATGAATGCCAAGAAGAAACACACCAGTGGATGAGGTGCAGATACGCCCTCTGCTGGAGCAGGTGCTCCATCGCACTCTTCTTATTTTCCAGTCCTTGCATCAGCTGCTCAGTGGGGAACCCCAGTATGTGGCTAAAAGGACAAAACAGTTCATGAAACTCACCTGGTCCAGAGGAACTGTCGATCATAGAAGAGTTCTTATGGAAATAAAAACCTACCGCAGGATGTCCACCGGAGACTCCTGACTCAACTCATCCTCACATTGACCAAGGACAAATTCCCGAAATAGAGAAGCTACAGATTTCCCATCCTCCTACAGAACAAAGCCCCTGAATGTGACATCACCATGACAATGACAGTAAACAGTTACTAAAGACCACCCGACCTCACCTGAGTCACAAGGAACCTGCAGCAGCCATAGAGGACCTCAGGGTTCCCTGGACACCGGGACACAGCCTGGAGCCAAACAGCTGCAGCCTGGTCCTGGTCTCCTCTCCTGAGGTGCAGCTCCACCAAAGCGTCCAACAAAGGCCTTAGATCCGGGCACAGCTTCAGCAGAGACTCACACAGTGAGATCCCGTCTTCGTACCTGCAACAAGCACGACAACGATGCTTAAAGTCAGAACGTTAGCGCTTTATGTCTGGTGCACTCTGGTTGCCCACAGCAATAAGAACGTGAGCGCCACCTGTATGGGGCACTCACTTGTTCAGGAGCTTGTGCAGATGAACTAGGTTGAGGTAAAGTGGCAGACTTGCTCGGACCCTCTCGTGGGCAGACGGAGACCTGCTGCTGCACTGAGAGATGGCATCTGTGGACAAACAACAAGACTTAGCACTAGACTCTGGACAACGACAACGACATCATCAGTCGGGCGTGGCACCTTGGAACAGGGCGATAAGGTCGGGGCAGGTCTGGATGTCCGAGGTCGTCCATGGCAGGAGGAAGATCTCAGTGCTCACCAGTCTGGACGGTCCAGACTCAGCTGGGTCATAAAGGCTGGATGGCATTCGATCAAACTGTGTCAGGTGGATGTACGACAACCAGACCAGCGCGAGGTCCCTTGTGGTCAGGTGGTCGGCGATGCAGTGGTCAGGTGACTTCAGTGAATTCTGAAGGTAAAACGTGACAATAACTGACTCTGAAGAACGTTCTGGTTCATTCCAGTCCTGAAACAGTTCTCGGTTTCTTTACCTGGAAGTGGGCGAGGGCACTCTCCCTCCGCCCTGTAAACAGGTTCAGCTCCACTCGGTAGAACAGCGCCTCCATGAGGTGGAATGACAGTTCATCTGTGACACCTGAAGAGGACTCTGCGATTAGAAACTGAAGCAGACGCTCACACACGTAGTCCTTCCCTTCAAAGGTGGTCTCCAGAGTCAGGTACTGGGGGTGAGACAGTCCAGGGTCAGCAGGGTCAGCAGGGTCAGTCTTTCTTTGAGTGACCATGGAAAACCTTAGTCCACTTACATTCCACCAGACCCTTTGGTCTGGAGCGTGTTCCACAGCCATCTCACACATTTCCTGGACCTCCTCTCTGCTGCCCCTCCTGGAGAACAGCAGTAGGTAGTGGATCCAGATCTCAGGGTCGTCGCAGTTGTTTTCCAGAGCCCGGGATAAGGTGTTGAGAGCTGCCTCCAGAGAGTCCCCCAGAGAACTACAAAGACCACGAGAACCAGACTGTTGATGACCACTGACACAGTATATACATTTTTTTTTTCTTTCTAAATTTAGTGGATGCGGCTCATATTTGGGTGTGCCGCATAGTCCTGAAATTACAGTATTCCAACAGCCCCCAAGAAACAAGAACTAACCTCTCCAGGTACTTGAAGGCCAGTTTGATCCAAAGCTGAGTGTCTCCAGGATTTTCCAGGACGCTGCTCTCAAGGTTTGAAATGTCATCTGTTTCACTGATGAAGTACCGTTTGTCCTCTGATGTGACGACACAGACGTCCGGAGATATGTTGCTGACAAGGTTCACACCTGGGCGCACACACACACAACCACACACCTGTCAGCTGACCTGCTAGTTTTGGCAGTCTAAAATGAGAAGAACCTGGACGTGTGTCCTCACCGTGTTCCTCTGGTTTGACCCTTTCTGAAGACGTCTCGTGCTCGGCCTCAGCCTCACTGCTCATAGCGCCCTGTCCCCCCAGTTTGGGTCTCGACCTACAGGCCTCCTTACAGGTGGTGAAGGGAGGGACTGGAGCAGGTGATGGAACAAGGAGTTAAAGGACAGACAAGAAGTGATGCACAGAGAATGTGGAACTTTAGAGTTAGAGGGCATGATAGAGGGGTGAGGAGACTGACCGTGGCGTCTGCTCTCGTTGACCTTGCTGACCAGGAGGACGGCCTTCTGGTCCACACCCATGCGGTCTTTGTTGGTCCCGAACAGTTTCTTCATGTATGTCTCTAAAGGAAACAACAAAGGGAGAGCATGAGTCTGGGGGTCTTCCTCTGACAGGACATGATGTCACTGAGATGTCGTCCTCACCTGTGGCAGTGCAAATGTCCTCTTCTGAGCTCGTCTCTGAGCAGCCAATAAGAGACAAGTCGTAGGACAAGAGGTCCTGGTACAGCTGGTCCCCGGTGAGCCCACAGTTCCTTATGTGCTGCCTGTAAATAACCAGGGAGACCAAGCTTAGAGACGGACACCGCGGACACACAGAACAGTGTCAGAGGACATGCAGGACACAGGGGACATGCAGGACATCCTCATACAGTATCAGAGGACATGCAGGACACAGTACAGACACAGGGGACATGCAGGACATCCTCACCAGCCACAGTCATCATCGTTACAGGTCCCTGTCAGGTCGAAGCGACAAAAGAACTTCTTGGGCTGAATCACATTACTGTAGGTCACCGAGCTCAGAGACAACTTCTCCTTAGTCCTGTAGTATGGACTGAACCTGGAAACAATAAAGTTTAACTAAAAGTTACAATTTTAACAGAAAAATAAAATTAAAACTGAACATTGGACTATGAAGTTGCAAACACAGGAACTGGTGTGTACCTGATTTTCTCTATGGACTTTACAAACCGTGTTTCAGCTTACCTGTATGACCTGAACACCAGTAACGGACTGTGATAACGAGCAAATGGAACCGGTCTGAGGTTGGCGTTTCCTGACTGCTTTGTTGTCAAGTCCAGTTCCAATGACATCTTCACCTGCAGACATTGGAGCGACAGCACATGTTGACCAAGGGAAGCTACCGTGAACCAGGTAACCAACATTAGCTTTGAAACAGAGCTTAGGGTTAGCCCCTAGACTTGTGAGCTTCATATAAACAAATCAGAGATTGTAGCTCAATAAAAAAAAAACAGATAGCTTAACATTAGCCTTAACATAAGTGCTCACCTGAGACGCTCCAAGGTCCTGCTTGTTCTCCTCCATTCTCAGCAGCTCCTTCTGCAGGATCTGACTGAGCGTTGCCTGCTGCTTGTACCTTAGCTTCAGGGTTTCTAGGTCTAGACCTGCAAACGTCTCTGCAGGCACCAGGGACGTCGGCGACATCTTGGTTGGTTTGGAAGCATCTTTGACAGGAAGTGAGCCTTCGAGGTTAGGTTTGGTGAAGGAACTGGACTGGTGGAGTGAAAGGCGCCGAGGGCCACGATCAGTGGCCGCGGGTTCTGTTTCGGTATCGTCTACCTCTGCTATGTCCTCACTGCCCAGGGTCAGTTTGTCTTGTGTGAGGTCGTGCAACGACGGCTGGGGAACGGGAAATGAAGGAGATGGCGGCGGCACTTGGGCCTCAACGTCTGATGGAGGAAGGTCACGTGGTGGTTCTGCCTGGAGCAGAGCCTGGGCCTCCTTCAGCCGCTGGATCTTTAAGGCATATTCAGACTCCAGCTGCTGCAGCCGCTGCTTCTGAATCATCAGTTCTGCAAAGTGACTCTTTGGGTCAATTCCGGTGCTGCTACGGGTGCCGTCAATGCGCTGGCGCTTCTTCACCTTAGGGAGAGTCAACAATGGGTTAACAATGAGTCCAGTGTCAGCACCCTTTTTCCAGGGAAATTATTTTTGTTGCTACGTTTTCATGCTAATAACGAAACAACAGGAACTGTGCGTTACTGGCTCACCATTGTCTGGACAGAATCAGTTCTACGTTTGGTTCCACTTCCTGCCAGCAGCTGAGCTTGAAAGACTTCTTCCTCCAACTTAGAAGCAAGTGTCTTTTTAACCGACACACGATGTTCTACACGTTGCACCTGCAAATGTTAGTGTTGTGTGTTAGAAGCTCGGTACCGATTATCAAACCTTATCATCTAGATAACAATTGTTCCCACACAAAAACTTAACCAAGTTATTTGTTTTTAGTTATTTTTAATAGGAAATGGAATCAAGATATGAGTGCTGTTGTGGAATGGATTAAACTTGTACCTGGGGCCTCGCTGTACAGTCATTTATCCTCAAAACTATTTTTAGGTCACATCATTTGGCAAAACCCAGACATTGCGTTATCGGGTTTTCATTATCGGAGGAAAAAATGATGAAGAGTCTTACAGATATTACATAATTATGCTAATATTGGGTCATTAATATCGATTATCAGACATCCCTAACATTAACTCCTTAGCTTCAGGAATCTGTTAAAGTGTACAGTGCCCCCTTGTGTCCAAAGTGTCTCACCTGCTCCTGCAGCTTCTTCAGCAGTGTTCTGTTAGCGGTGACTATCTTCTCACTGGCCTGCAGCTGCTCCCTCAATTTGGACATTTTGGCTTCTGCATTCTTCAGCGACTCACGTTTCTTCATCTCCT